TTCTGAGATCTGTCCTCAGAATGCATTATGGTAACCCACACCATACTGTCAAATGCTCCCTTACCGGACTGCCTGCCATGTTTATTCATTTGCCTAGCACCTGTCGACTCCCCATCCCTGAGTTGGATCCACCCTAGGGACACCCTCTTATTCTGAGGTGGACCCTTGATGTCCATTGCTTTCTGCGCCCAGGTTATCTTCTTAATGCTACTCCCTGGCAGCTGGCTGGGGGGTCCTCTTTGGAGTCTATCCAGGGGCATATCCGGTCCCACATCACACACCCTGTTTATTTTTCCCAACCAGCTAAATTGCTACAGAGCCCACATGAACCCTGGGAGAAGGAGGTCTGAGCGACAACAACCCCATTCCAAACACTTGAGTTCCACATTACACAGCTCTTGGATGGATCCACTGTTCCTGGGAAGATGACAGAGCCAGAGTCTGGGCTAAGACACTAGAATGCAGATCATGTTCTCTGCCCCAGTCCAAAGGGAAAGCCTCCTGTACCACCAAAGGCATCAGTGTAATTGGCACTTTCCAACCAAGATCCTCAGATATTAGCTCTTAATCACTTACATGGCAGCCCACTCACAGGAGGTATTATTTCAGTTGTATAAATTGATGAAAGAGACATAAAGAGTTGAAATGTCACCATACCTGTCATGACCTTACCATTCAATAGATTTGTTTTCATAGGAATTCATGTGAATTGGCATTATGTGCAGTTAAGAGAATGAATAATGAATTAATAGAAGAATAAATCAGCATATAATATTCATGAGTAATATAACACACCAAGCCTGGTGAAGTAGATACTTATTTAGTATGTTTATACAGAAATAGATTTAAAGGTGGGTAACCACATTTTTATGAGTCTTTTATAGTTAGAGGCAGAAAGTTCAAATATAACTGCTAATTTGCATAGTGAGAAGACTGAAGAGGCATGAGTTTCATGTCTTAATACCCTTCTTACTAGCTGGGAGACCTTGGCAAAGCCCTTAGCCCTCTGAACATCAAGTTTCTTCACCTTTAACTGGAGGCCACAACACTAACCCTGCAAAACCATGAAGCTCAGAGAAGGGACTGTAGATGGCAGGGTTTAGTGGCTGCAAATCCCACATGAGCAGGAGATGGAGAGGTCAGTAGACCAAGGTTTTTTCTGGGTAGATTCTTGTGTCAACTTAGACAAAATACTTGTGTTGGGGTCCGGATTTTCAATAACTTCTAAAGAGAAGTTATTGGTCTAATGTATACACAGTGGAATCAGACAGTTGCTTCAAATGAGAGCTTTTCTCTCCCAACATCCTTATAACAATTCCAGGGACAGACTCCAATTGGCTCTGTTTGAGTCACATGCCCATCCTTTGAAGCAATCACAAAGGCTAACAGAATGGAGAACTTGGATTGACCAGACACCTGAGGTCTAAGACAGTTTCCACCAGTTTCCTGATAGCTGTCACTTTCTCTATGCTAGAATCTGTGCTGCATGTATAGTAACTTAATTTAACCTTCTAAACATCAACAACAACAACAAAATAAGCTCTAATACTATGCCCATTATAAAGCTATAAAAACTGATACAGAGAGGTTCTGTAACTTGCCTGAGGTTGTACAGCTAAAAAGCAGTGGAGCTGGAAATTGTTAAACAACTCCTTGCACTGCAAAATCTATACTTGTAGGTTATACTTGCTCAGCTGTAGTGTAGGCAGGAGAGGGGTCCCACACAGCACCTGCTTATTTTTTTAAGTCCTTGTTGATTTAAGCACAGTTACTTCACCAAAGCTTGTCACTGCAAACCTCAGTTCTGGCTTCACATCCATAGATGGCAGGATAATATCCTCCAAAAAGGTCCATGTCCTGATCTCCTGGAACCTGAGGGAATCAGCAGAGTGATGAAGGCCCTTGAGATGGAGCGATGATCCTGGGTTTGCTGGGTGGGCCCAATTATCAAATGAGTCCTTAAAATTAAAGGACCTTTCTTGTCTGGGCAGAAAAAATGTGAGAGTGGGAGAACCATAGAGATCACAGCATGCAAAGGCCTCTACCACCTTCCCTGGATTTGGAGATGGAGAAAGTGGCCACAAGTCAAGGAATATGGGCAGCTTCTAGAAGCTGCAAAAGGCCAGGAAACAGACTCTCCCCCTGGAGCTCCAGAAGGAAGACAGTCCTGTTGACACCTTGACTTTAGCCCAGTAAGACCTATGTTGGACTTCTGACCCCAAAAGTGTAAAATAATACATGTGTTTTGCTCACGCTCCCATGTTTGTATTAGCTTGTTACAGCAGTGGTAGAGAACTAATACAGCATTCAAGGTGGAAGGAATCAAAGTCACCTGCAAATGCTGCAGCCAGCCACCACCCTTGAAAGTCAGCCAGTCATCAGAGGTTTCCTTCTGTGGTGTCGGAATTGTCAGGGGACAGTTTTGTGTGGGTTTTGGTTTGGTGTCTTGTTTCATTTTATATTTTTGGAATGGGTGTGTTTGCCCACTGCAGGGTGCCAGCTCTCAAACTCCAGCAAAAATAGCTCCTTTGTCTTATAGTCCAGACGATAAAATTTGCACCACTCAGAACCATGACTTAAAGATCAGAAGTAAGGGCATTGGAACATACATCTTCTACTCCTTGCTTGGTATTCAAACTCTCACTGCTCAGAGAGGAACTGTGACATGGTGGGACTGGAGTGAGAGTGAAGCTCTGGAGGCAAACAGCCTGGTTCAAATAGCAACCCTGCAGCCAACCTGCTGGGTAGGTTATTTAAATTGTGCATTGGTATCCTTTCATATATTGGTAAAATGATAATAATAATAATAATAATAATAATATCCGCCTCTGCTGGATATTGTGAGAACTAAGTAACTTAACACCTGTGAAATGCTTAGAAGTTAGTCCAACACATAGTAAGTGCTCTATTATTCTTGGCTATTATTGTTACTCTACATCAGTGGTCGGCAAACTGTGGCTTACGAGCCACATGCGGCTCTTTGGCCCCTTGAGTGTGGCTCTTCCACAAAATACCACGTGCGGGCACGCATGTACAGTGCAATTGAAACTTCATGGCCCATTCGCAGAAGTCGGTATTTTGTGAGCCACAAAACTTGCAAGCCACAGTTTGCTGGCCACTGCTCTACATACTCACAACTCTCTGTCGCCTTCCTCCTGATATTTCAACCCCAAACCGGAGGCAAACTGTAACAACTAGCACTTGTTCAGCATCTTACAGCTGGAAGAACCTTGACCCATTTCATCCTTTTGACATCCCTGTAAAGAGGTACTATTTGATGCCTTTCTTTCTTTCTTTCTTTCTTTCTTTCTTTCTTTCTTTCTTTCTTTCTTTCTTTCTTTCTTTCTTTCTTTTCTCTCTCTCTCTCTCTCTCTCTCTCTCTCTCTCTCTCTCTCTCCCTCCCTCCCCCCCT